ATTATATTATTGATTCTTGAGATTTTGAAATGCCTTCGTATATACTGTTCTAGTTGAAAAGTTAACACTTTTTTGCAAAAATTATGGGAGAAACAGTTGACTTCAAAAATCTGTATAAAAATTAAGATCGACCTTCACGTCGTTTCCTTCTCGAAAGATAGCAAAAGAAGATGCTTTATCTAATCTGAATGATATTGATAACATCAATATAGAAGATACTATTTAAACCACATTTAACTATGAAAAAAAGATAGCTAGTAATTTAAATATATAAATTTTATTAAAGAAACGTAATGCCTTTAAACTCGATGGCTCAGATCCAAATACGCTTGGCAATGTTAGATTGAATATCTATTTAGATATTTGTTCGATAGCTGATTCAGATCTGAACATTGAATTTTGAGTGTGATTAATAATGTAAAACAATAGAATGCAAGAATGCACTTTCATTATAGAGGTATAGTTGATTCAATCAATTCAGTTTAGAAGAGTCCCTTTTTTTTTTCAAATGCATATAAATAATTTCTCTAAATTCACATATAAGCAAACCGCTTATTGGTTATTGATAGAGATAACTACACATTTATTAACCTATTGACTGTCGTGAGTCGATGAAATAAACAAAAAATAGATTGCAATTTTTCGTAATATTTATATAAAATTCACAGAATATTTCGCTATAAAAACAAATAAATTCATGAAGAAAAGCATTCATTTATAAGTTATGAAGAATTATGAGTTCCAAAGCGCTCAACTTTCTTTACTAGCAGATTGAAAAAACAAGGAAAGTTCAAATTTTTGATAATATAAAATTATTCAAAATGAGAAAACGTTTCGATAGTTATTTTCTAAATTGTTCACCAATTAAACATATTCGACACATATTCGAAAAGTTCAAGATTTCACTTACATGAAAGTATATGTATGATTCACAAAACACAAAAAAGTACTTTGTTAGATTATTTCTTCGATATGATCTATGCGGACAAATACAGAAAATAATATATAACATTGTATTCTATTCTGAAGAATACTGTGGTCAAATTGTTTAAAAAAATAAAATAACAAAAACAAGTCAAAACTTTGAGCATATAATAGATAAATCGAATTCTACTACCTAACTTACCTACTCATAGTGCGTTTATAATACTTAAAGTACGGTTGATGTATTGTGATGCATTACACTCGCTTCTAAGGCTTGCCAGTAGGAAACAAAACAATGAATAGCAACAAAAAAGTACATTCTTTGACTACGTTACTCAGGTAAACATACGACCTTACCTATTCTACAGCTATAAAGGATGTCCCACAAGTTCGGGACCCCAACGAAAATTAATTTATATGTAAACAAAGAGTGATCTCTACTCAACTATATCTATACGGATTTAGAGTGCTTAAGACGATATTATAAATGGTATATTATCGGATGACATTATCTCCTTTAATAATAATGATATAAATACAAGAAACGTGATAATTACTGTGTAGGTACGGAAGGTAGTCACATCTACACACTCACATCTTAGATACTACCTGTTGCTTTATATAGTTGTCTTACGTTACATATGATGAATTCATAATTTATTAAGATTTCTTAAAAAAGTACTATAGTCTGATTAATTAAAAGTCTGAGTTAAAATTTGATTTTTTTTGTATTCATTTTTATCTGATGATAATGTATTCTCCTGTTTTTTATATACTATAGACTGATATGCATTAATCATATGTTTACCATTATAACTATATAGTAGTCCTCTATCTATACTGTACCTCTTAGATTTTTATCTGTTTGTATGTGTATATATACATGGTGGCCCAAAAGTAACAGGACATAAAGGGTATTCTATAATTAATGATAGTAAATTGTTAAAGACATTTTTCATACTTTTAATTGATGTAGAATGGTGAAACTTTCAGTAATAAAAGGTCTTGATTAGATATATATATATATATATGATAAAAATTTCAGCTCTCTACATTAATAAAAGTAGGAAAAATATCATTAACAATTTATCATCAGTTACTATAGGGTGCCCTTTATGTTCTGCTACTTTTAGACCACCGTGTATCTTCTGATAGCTCCTGATCTTGGCTACATTTTAACTACAAAATATTGTGGTTTGTAAATATTTTGATATACTTTCATATACAGTGATGCCAAAAAATTCCGTGACACTTGAAAAACGTTTTACAAAATTTTTGATTAGAGTTGATTTAGACTCGACACATATGTTTGGCAATCTTATCTCCAGCGGTAAAAAGTTCCATGGCACTTTCGACTTTTTTTATTATATCACTTTTTTTCCAACTTCAGATATCACCATCAGAAAGAGCGTAAAAAAATGAAGTATAATTGATATTCTATTATTTTTGAAATTATAGGAAATACGCATTATCTGAAAAGAGGCTTTTATGCAGAAATCCTGGGTATTCACTAAAAATCCATTAAGAACTCATTGTGAATAACAACGGATAGGCTCTCTTTTGAATCTATCTTGTAGAGCTACTTCAGTTCTACAAAATGAGACGTTTTGTAGTCATCTGTCATGTAAAGTAAATGAGTTATTCCACTTTGTAATGAAGAAACTGTTTTTATTCACATTTTCAAGTGAGAATAGTTTAAATATATTGAGATTTTGAAAATTTTCTCTGTAATATCGTATAACTCGTTTACTTTACATGTCAGATGTGTGCGGATGTTCATCGTCGCTTCATTCATATCCACATCCACACCCCACACTCACATTATTCCTTCAAGAAGGTCTTCTAGTGCTCAGTGAGGTCAATTTCTCAGATGGTGTGGACCTAGCGGATTCAAACTTTTCCGACTTGGACCCCGACCCAAGTAACGAAAAGTTTCTAAGCCAGACCCGACTGAATCCAAGTTCGGCACTAACCCGACAGGCTTGGCTCACTCCACTTCATATGCTTCTCAACTTCTTAAATCTGATTCAAAATCATTTTCTATTCGGTGAAAAATAAAGATTTCTCTATTTCTCATTCGTGGGAAACTTTTCGCCGAAAAGTATTTTGTTGATTTGCAGTGATACTGTTGAAAGTAACAGACTGAATTTTTCGATCCAACCTAGTCCAACCCCAAAAGATATAGATATCATTTATATATAGATTTTCATATTTAAATGAATTTCCTTCGCTTATTTTTCAAAGAATTGATTTAAATTCTCATGAAATTTTTCTCATTGTTATTTCATTTGAATTCCATCGAAAAAATAGGAATTTAATATGTCATGAACGTAGAGTAATTTTATCTATCATTCATATGATGTCTTCTGAGAATATCCCCGGAAACTCGATTATGTCCTAGGGTAAGAGGTATATAGATATATAGGTATAGGAGATATAGGAGGTATAGATGTATAGGAGGTATAGGAGGTATAGGAGGTATAGGAGATATAGGAGATATAGGAGATA